TAATTCAGTTGAACAAAAATCACGTTTATTATAGTAATTGAGTGGAGGACTCACATATTTTATTTTTATGTCAATGGTGTTTGTTTTCATTTCAATATAATGTCAGTAAAAAACATTCGATTGATACGTTACATGTCGTATATAATTTGTTTGGTTGTTTTTTTTAACCTGAATTGTTTGAATTGATACGTTTACATATCGTATATAATTAAAAATAAATTACAAAAATTAAAATTAATAATATATTAATTAAATTTTAAATCAACATGTTTAAGATTTGAACGGACGTGTAGCAATATTTAACTCGACTATCAAAACAAATACTTGGTCCAAACGAAAAAAAAATTAAAATTTTTTTTATCTTTGTATTATATAAAAACAAGTCATAAGTAAAATCTCATTTTGTTACCTCAAAACTCATTTTAAATTCCATATAATACAAATCCTCACTATAAATTACTCCTCATAGGAGAAATCTCAACTCCAGGCTCTACAACCTCGAAAATATTTAACGCAAGAACTCGTATTATAAGTTAAAATTGCTAGGCTTTAATATATATCTCCAGCATAATTCTTTCATTCTGACAAAAAAAAAAAAACTTAATTCTGTTAAAATGCTGAGACGTGTGATATTTAGATCATTCATCTCCTATATTGAATTTAGTGAGTTTAAATTTAATATATATTATATAAAAACGTTATTAACATGTGAGACAAAGCTAACAAATCCTAAAATTTTATTTAAATTAAATTCGATAAAATATATCGAAAGTAACGGTGTGTCAAGAAATCATTTTCCACATTGTTAGTGGGAAGGTAGATAAGAAGTGTCAGGTACATGGGAGCGGGCATTAGAAAATGAAATGGGTACACATGAAAAGCGTGGGCTTTGAAAGGACCGAACCAGAGTCTTGGAGTTATCGGACATTAAATTTCCACAGCCCCACATTACCCACTCTAATCCTTGACCGCTAGAACAGCTTGGAGTATTCATGCTTGCTTTGTTAGTCCAGTATTTTTTTTTTAATTATTATTAAGTTAAGATATAAGTAATTTAGTATTTGTAATTTTTTTATTTCATTCCTTATATTTATTAATTAAATCCTTGTATACGTGAATTTAAAACTTTTTTCTCCCACTCATCATAAATTGGAACTAATGGTAAAAATGGAAAGCAATATATATTTTTATATGAATAAAGATTTTATTGATATGAGAATTATTATTAAGAGCTATTGATATTTTGGACAAGAGGAAATCATTAAGAATAACTACTTTGTGTCTTAAATTATAAGATATTTTTAAATAAAATTATATATACTAATAAAATTTATTAAATACACTTTGTAATTTTATTTTTTCAATACAATAATATAAATATTTAAAATATCCTTTATTTAATACTTCATTTGTAAGATAATATATTAAAAAGAAAGAATACATAGAAAGATAATATTGAAATTTTTTTATTAATGATACTTTATTTTTATCAAAGTATCATATATTTTGAAATGCTAAATTTTCACAAAAAAACATTTTATAATTTGGTATAAAAATTGTAGTACCCTTTCTAACCCCTGTTATAAGACGTTAGGTGTCCTATGATTGAAGGGCACTGTTTAAAAAAAATTAGGTAGTCCTTACAATTATATCTGAGAATGATTTTTTTCCCTAAAATGACCCTGTTGTTATTAATGTTTAAATTTTATCCTAAAGATGATCATTTCCTGCCGCTATTTCCAATGGTTAAAATTGGAAATCTCAGTTAAACGCACTTTAAAGTTTATAAAATTTTCTTATATTTAAGACAAAAAACTCAGTTGCGGTAAAAAAAGAGAGAGAAACAAAAAATTCAGTAGTCATTGCTTAAGTGCTAGATTTGATGGAGGAGCAATTCCTTTAGGTTCCATCCATAAGAGTCCGTGACACTTGGGGGAGATGTTTTGTCATTTGTGATCTTTTTATAAGGTGCCTTATTAATTATTTAAGGGTGAAGAAATTTTCAATCCCTCAGATTTCTATCAAATTAATAATTTATTTTCTCAAATTTAATTTTTATTAGTCTAGTCTTTACATTTTTTTAAATTATCATATTATATTTTTAAGTTTTAAAACGCAACTTGACTTTTAAGTTAATCCAATTCCAATGTATAGTGTCTGTTTATAACTGGACATGTATGTGTAACTAAGAGAAAATAAATTGGCTTTTATATGAGTTCATTTTTATTAGTATAGTCTCCAATGTTGTGCTTTGTTTTTTTTTAATTTTTTTGGACTCAATTTTTTCTATCTAAATGATTTTTTTTTCATTAATCTACACGACAATCATTAATATTTTTTTGTCAATGTTGATATATTACAACAGTGTTATCTTTCTTTAAACAATAATGTCTAAATCAATAACAAAAACAAATTCAAGGGACCAAGTTAATAAAAATTAAATTTGAGAGATAAAATTGATAATTGAGACAAAATTAATGGATTCAAAATTTCATTATCTCATTTATTTATTGCATTTTTCCTTTATACCCTTATTTAAAGTTAACTTAGGAAAGTGTAATTTTTGAACGATGTATTGAATAAAGTAAATTCTTTACTTTTTTTAAATAATGTTAATGAGTTTTTATGATTTTTCTTAATTTTAGTAAAAATAATGCTAATAGATTATAAATAGGATTGTAATATAGGAGGTCTAATCTAGTGGTTCGATAAGTTTTTTAGAAAATTGTGCTAGTATAAATTTAGTTTGATTCACAAGGTTTCAATTTAATTTCTATCACCCAAAGCCAGAACAAAAATTCTATCATCTATTTGGATATGTTTTTTGGTTCTCGGCTTGTGTTGCATCATCTATATATATTGATCTAAATAAGTAATATCATTTGTAAAATTTATATTAGATGATACAACAGCATAACAAACAGTTCGTAATTAATAATTTTTCCGACGACATTAAACTGAAATTGGAATATTTATTCAAATCTTGGGGAAGAACGATAGGTAATAGACGATGAAAATTGTGGAGAATGTGTATGAAAAATGTTTTTGGAATTTCATGTAACATACCAAACTTTGGAAGGGTCGATTCCGTCTCAAGGTGTGGCATCCAGTGTCATCACCTGAAACTTCCTATTATTCCCTCCCCTTATAATTTTATTTGGAAACTTCTTCCATTTTTTGTATTAACTCATGTGGCCAATTATTACTCTTTTTACGCTATAATATAAGTCATAGTTAATTAATTCATAATTTACTAATAATATTAATTAAAATTTTAAATTCTTAAAAATATTCACATATTTTCATTTACATTCTCATTAAATACCATATATAATAACTTCGATAATGGTGATTAAAATTTCAATACTTGAATTTTTTTAAAAAATAATAAATAAAATAGAGATATAATTAATAAAATGGGTATTAAAATTGTTCAATACCCTATATTTTGGATTATGTAAGATTTTTAAAAGATATTTTATATTATGATAAGGAGAGAGCGTCACATATATACCTTGAAAATTCTCCTCTTGGAAAAATGCCCCCAAGTATTAACCACTTCATTCTAATTGCTTGTTTCGCTGAATAATGGAATATATCGAAATAGAGACGTGAGAAGACAAGTTATCACACGTATATCAATTTGGGATATGCAAGAAAACAATATACTGAAAGCAACGCGAAATCACCCTTTATTTTTTTATTTGCCTTCACTCTTTATTTCAAAATTTTTGATCTCCATTAATATGGTTGGCGACTTATGCACTTTTTAATTATTGAAAATTTAATTGTTATTGCATGTTTAAGGTTTAAATTCGAAACCTCTAATTAAGTTAAACTAATATCCTAACCGATTAATCTATAAATGCTCATCCTCTTTATTTGACAATTGTTAACTCGATCCAAATTGAATTAGAAGGAATTTCGTATTTTGAAACAATTATTTTAGAGGTGAGGCAAAAACCTTGCTCCATCTATTTTTTTTTTATAAATATTTTCAGCATCACATCACAACAATCAATTATCTCTTGACTTCGGCCCGAAAAAAATCAAATTTTATTGATTACAACGTAAACGTGGTCAGATCGCCTCTCCTTAGTCCTTACCTTCAATGGAAAATATTATTATTTTAATGAAAAGACATACAGTGATATGGAATTACTTAATTAGTCAAACATTTAAATTTAGGTTAAATTCATAAAAACACTGCTTAACACTTTAAGGAAGGAAAAAAATTTAGGACCACAAAAGTTAATAAAACTCTCCCATCATGTATTTAACACAATTATATATGAAGGACTCAATTGTGAGATCTTTAATTAAGTAACTTAAATTCAAATGGAGCTAAAATTTTGAAGAACACAACTTCGATTAGAATAAAGTGAAGTAGGAAAATACAAACAAGAATATGTTAAACATAGAGAATAACGTGGATTCTCATCAGAAAAGAATGATAGGAAACTAAAATGGTAAAAGGCAGGGGAGGGGTAGGTTGAGAATTAGAATCAGGAGCTGTGCACATATTCTTTCGTGTGTCACATGCACAGGAATATGATGCTCCATCGCAATCTCCAATCACCATACACATCGTCCGCTACTGGCCCCATTTACTCAACCTCATTTCACTTTGTTATACATGCTTGGTAATGCATATATGATTTATTAATTAATAATGTGAAAGCTTTGGTTAATTACCTTGAATATTAAATATCGACAGAATGGAATAAGGAGAAGGAAAGAGGAGAGGATCCAAATCCTAATTTATGGCTAGACGTTCATTATTTCAAAGTAAAGCCTCATGTTTTCCAATTTAGTCATAACATATTATTATCTACAGATTTAAGTAAATCCACCTACAAACAATCATAGTTCAGGTATCGTTTAGATCTATTGTATTCTATTCTATCTTTTCCGTTCAAAAAAGAGAAGGGGAAAAAAAAACAAATCTATGCGATCCTGCATATATGCGTGTATTATCAACGGAGCATAAAACGAAGAAAGGGGGATAAGTTCAAATTCTAACATTGAAACTTGTTTGGATGAAGAGGCAAGTATTTCTTGCATGCAAATCAGATCAGATCCAAGCATTTGAATGAACAAGAACAGGTAGATCGATGCCTGCATGGATGGGCAAAACCACAATCGCAGATTTGGCGATTCTCACACAAAATCCTACGAACAAAAGTAGGGGAATCATAGGAACCTACAACAGAAAATTTTCCTATCCTCTGCATCGAAGGCAGATATATCCAATGGGATCCCTCCACGTGTTATCGTGGGGGTCACAGTTGGATCACAAATGTAAGAACCGAGAGAGCTGGGTGGGGTTCACAATCCCAGGTACGTGGGTCCCGCTCGCTCTCATCAAGTCTGCTAGTTCTGCATACCTTCCCTGCTTCTCCGGCTCCGCTCTCCTGCTCGCCGGCTCGCCTTCTCCTATCTGGCTCGACTTCCCTTTTCTCTTATCGGCCTCAGTGGGACCCTCAGCTGCTCGGGCTGGATCCCAAGGTTCGCCGAAGAGAGTCCCTTTGGTGAGGAACTCGTGGGCCAGGAAGCCCGCCAGTAGCTGATTGGACTTGGTCGGTTCCAAGCCTTTAACACTGTAGCGGGGTGGCTCGAAACCAGCTCTCGGCTTGTCCAGCTTGAGCAATTTGCTTGTGCTTAAAGTAGTTGGAGTGTTGGATGGGCTGGGCTTGGGCCTGTCAAAGCCTTCCTCTCTCTCTTTACGCTTGTTGTTGTTATGAGGGGAAGCGCCAGGCGTTAACACACGCCGTGGGGGCAAACGCATCGTTTTGGTATTCATGGCTGTCTGGCTGCATGCCACGTCAACGCCCAAAGCCCGAGAAATATTTTTTAAGAAAACAAAAAGTGGTCCAAATTTTAAATTCAAGAAAAAGGGGAAAGAACCCCAGGAGGGCCAGAACAGAACAACTAACCTGTTGAGAGAGTTTTGATTGAAAAGGAATGGGAAGGCAAAAGCGTAAATTAACCAAAAAGAGAGGGCAAACACCAAGAGAAGTGTGTGATTAGGAGGGACGGATCAGATAGGGATGATGAGACGGAATCTGGGTTTGGGAAGTGACGCAGCCACTTGCAAATTTCTGGCAATTGAAAGAGAGAAGAGGAAAAGAGATGAAGAGAAGGAAAGAGACGCGAAACAAACGGGTAGCGAAGAAGAATGGGCGAGAGGTCAGGGGCCTTCTTATTTATAGTGGTACAAATAACTAATTGCCATTGCAACTCACGAATATTGCGACTCTGCCATGTAAAATGACAGACTCACCCTCTTTTTTTTTTTTATTATTTATGAAGGCCTTTTTTATATATTTTTTCCCCTTTCCAAACGATATTAATATTAATATTAATGTATCAGTGTTTAATGAGGTGTGCCTGTGCAATATTTATGTAAAAATGAATTCAAAATTTGTGCAATGTTTTTTTCTTCTTTCAATTTGCACTGCACATTTCATTGAGTTAACATAATTTTTTTAATTTTTTTAATATTTTAATAGGATTTAAATATTATAAATATGAATATGATGTTTAGTAAAACTTTGAATTATCATATATTTTACGCATAGCGAAGAAGGATTTATTTTCATGTATCCATTTAAACAAATTTTCAAATATATATAATTTTGAAAATTTTTTTTGCCAGAAATTTTGAAAGTTTTAAATTGGATTAAAATTATATATATAATATAATTAAATTCTTGTCACTTGAAATTAATACCAATAATTTTGTGGGTGAGAATTAGAAGATATATTCTTATCTTATATTAAGAATTAAGAATTAATTATCATATTAAATATCATTAATCACGTCATATATTCACCAAATCAATGATAATACAGATCCTTGCTCAAGAAAGGTGAAAAGCTAATATAGAAGCAAATCAAACATCCGAATCCTTTCACTTGCTTATGGATACATCATATATGGATGTTTTTAAACAAATATGCAGATTTTTTAAGAGAGCATCTTTTGTAAAAGTGGATTTTCGCCTCTTTTTTGTGGATAGAAATTAAGAAACCCTTGGAAATTGGAATGGTTGGATGGTTTGTGTGGAATGAACAGATTAAATTTAGGTTTAAACTTTTTTTTTGGGGGAAAGTTTTTAGGTTTAAACTTTAATGCTATACTTAAAGTCACACCAAACTCTATCTTGACAATAATTAAGTATCAAAATCAACCTAAAACTCAATTCTAAAAACAAGTTTTTAAACATCTTTGCATCGATTTATTTTTCTATTATAAGTATAACATGTTCTAATAATGTCGACTTCTAAAAGTGATTCTTCAATCAACATATTCTTTTAAAAATATTAATACAGACTTTAAATTTTAAAATTATCAGGAAAATCCCTGTTTTGGCAAAAGAAAATTTGTTTCGCTGCAATGTCAAATGTTTGGCTTAAAGAAGTAAATTCGGATGGAATTAAATTCCTTGTAATTAAAAATCCAGATCCGGATGGAATTAAATCTAAATGGACGCGAGGGTTTTTTTTTTTTTTTTTTGTCCACGAGACTAAATTTAATTTCAAGCATGTTATTAGGTAAAAAGATGATTTATTTTCTCACTATGGTTAAAAAAAAAAAAAAAGTTCTCTTTGCTGCATGCTACAGAACATGGGTAATAAAACTTTTAGGCCTCAAAATTCAATTCAACTATATAGTCTCCCAAGTTAATTTTTTTAATCATGTTAGTTTCTTAAGTTCACACTAATTATCAATTTTGTTTTTACTGTATACAGAAAAAGTAATACTATTAAAATCTGCTTATGTGAATGAAGAATAATAATGGCATGCATATAAATTAATAAAAAATGTAATTATTTATATAAAAAATTAAAAACAAAAAACAAAACGCAACATAAAAGATTATATTAATAAAAATTAAACTAATTTAAAAGTTAATTTATTTTTATTTAGTTACACATACTCTTCAAATCATTTATATATTCTATACATTAGATTAATTTAAGAGTTTACTTGTGTTTTAAAATTTAAAAGAATAACGTGATACTTTAAGAAAACATAATATAATAGATTAAATTGATAAAAATTAAATTGATAACAGATATAAATTTGACAGAGTGAGCATTTCATTATCCCCACAAAACAACTTATTAATAGTCTGATGCTGAATTGCAATGGCCGTTAAAAGGAAAACTCAACCCTAGATTACATATACTCTCATAAATCATATCATAATGTGATATTAACAGCCGGTGAGTCTCGAATTTGAAAAAAAAAAAAAAACTTCATTTTAATGCCAGTAATATTCTCAACGTACAATAAAATATTAACCTCTCTGGAAAATCAAAACACAAAAGAAGGGTACGTTAATTAAAGAGAGATCACAAAGTGGTGTGCTTTGGAGGGCCTTACAAAATACAAAGAAATTAAAGGCCGATGAGCTATGAACGGAACATGGTTAGTGATTAAAAAAAGCCATTAGAGTGAATCAGTTGGTGTCCTTGTCATCACGGTGAGAGCTATGAGCTATCCTTGATTGATAAAGAACCTCCTTCCAATCACATCTGACAACTCACATCAACCGTACATCATTTTTTCCATTTCTTAATCATACATCATTGTATTAATATTTCTTTCTCCATACATTTTATATAATAAATTTAATCATGAAAATGTTGAAAAGGGAGAGGCTAAGTGTGTGTTTGCTCTTTGGCCCAAAAAAAAAAACACTGTGTGTGTTTGCTTGAGAGCTTTTCTGGTGAGGAGAACAGAAAGAAAATGTTTCTTTATTAAATTAAAATCATGTCTTATCTTCCTCTTTCCTATAGTAAAATAAATTTTATCACTTTATAAAATTTAATATATCATTTTTTAATGTATAAAATTGTAATATTTTTTCATTAGACACACTTATAAATTGTAGCATTGATATTATTAAATCTATTCCTTTCTCTTGAACCAAATATGTCCTTGAGTAAAGACTCAAGACTCAACACCATTAATTTGATGTACTGTCCGCGTAGCTGAAAATTGGCGAGTGGGGTGACTGGTTGAAATGGCCAAAGTCGTCACCGGATGGAAGTTAACATTATGGATTAAATAGGCGACATGCCTAATTAAGTTGGCTTGTAAAAGAAAAGGAGACCTGTACCTGTTTCGCTATCTCCGCACAATCTCAACACTAGCAACGCCTCACAGATTTGCATCTAGCAACTTAGCAACTTTTGAATCGATGTATTTAATCTTGTTTTGCACTCACACCACGATTTTTAGCCTCTACTCTTGCACCACTATTAAGCTTTTTAGATCTCGCATTTATATATACCTACTTTTTGTAACACCCTCAAATTTATAAATTAATTTTTCACAAATTATTAATTCAACAAATTTTTTTTTTTTCATTGAACCCTTATCATACTCTTATCATGGTAAAAAAATTTCTATCATGATACATCCAAGATAATATATACAGGTTTTAAAATATCTCAAAAAGCAATTAGAACCATGAAGGACAGACAGGATCCTCATGGCATGATATTTAAATCAGGTCATGAATCAAGAGGGACAAACATAATCCTCTTAGTCATATAAATACATTTAATAAAAAAGATTAGAGTTTACATGTTGTCAAAATAAAGTATGTCCTAGGTTGGCACAAGATACATTGCATAATACAAAATGAGAGGCAACATAAAAAATGGTGTCTCGTATACCAAAGTTACACCTTGGTGCTTTCTCGGCCGAACTCTCTCCTGTAAAAATATTAACCACGGGGAATGAGATTTAAAAGTCCCAGTAACAAAAATTAATATGTAATGATGCATGCGGATGTAACTAATCATGCGATTGTTAAGTGGGCACACAAAAACATTTAATCGAACAATATTTCCAAATAAATCGAACAAGTATTTAATTACATGACTACACCTTATATCCTCCTTTCGCCATGCTCAACGCCAAATCACCTGGCTAAAGGTGAGTTGGACCAAGCGACACACCACTCATTGGGTCCAATGAGGGCTTACCACGTGGTAATAATTAACCGAACAGAAATTTCCATTAACACCATATATTAAAACACCCTGACAAGTCATGCATCATTCAAATATCCAAACAGGAATATATCCAAACAATAATATCTCATCATGATAAACAAAAATAAATTTTTGACTCACTTGGCAATAATTTCAAACAAGTATATAACAGTATTTATTTTCAATAATTTATAATTTTTTCAAACAATAAGACAACACATAATCATTCACAAACACACTTATTACAACACATTAATAATGGTTACCTTGTGTCTTGAATAACAAGTTCCCCTTCACAACTCCTCTTTCACCGCTATCTTTGTCAACACAATCTACATAGTTATTTTATAATATTATATATTAATTTTATATTGAAATTAATAAATAACTCTAAATTAAAGAGTTAAAAAATCTTACGCCTAAAATCCATATTAACACTAATTTGAGATTTATGCCTCATTTAACTTTTTAAATTCTTTTTTAAAATTTTCATACCTTGATAAACTATTTTTAATCCTCAAATCACTTATAGTATCACAATTTCATCCATCTATATTTTAAAAATTCGTTCAAAAATAAATTAAAAATTTTAAAATTATCCTGAGGCCTCAAATCACCTTTCTATAACCTCAAAAATATCTATTCATACTTAAATAAATATCTAATAATTAGAGGCTCATCCCTACATCTCAGATTTCACATAAATTCAACCATATAGATCTAAATTTTAACTCAAAAATTCTTAAACATGAGTTTCAATCTTTAAGAAAATATTCTATAATATTTATTATATCCCTAAGAGTTTTAAGTTATATTTTTAATCCATCATATCATCATATTAACTATCCTATAGAAAAATCCTAATCAAAATATTTACTCTATTCTACAAAATAATCATATCACTAAAAAGCTAATATTATTTAGAAAATAACTATAAAATTAATTTTGTACTTAAATAATTTTTTAAATGCTAATCTAAATAAGAAAGTTGGAACATACCTGAAGAAAAAGAAAATAATCTCCCCTTGCGAGAAAACGCCGAGCAACGTGAGAGGAAGAGAGAAAAATAATATAAAAATAGGACTGTGGGTCTTAAAATTATATTAAAAAAAAACTATAAGTTTAAATTTAATTATTCAAACCTTTGAGTTGTTACTTGCAATT